ACCCATCCACGGTTTACAAATGGCCGACATTTCCGCGTAAACCCCAAAAGCACACTACGTTATCATTGTCACCAACCGGGCCAAGAGGAAATCACTTTACTACCACTACTCACACATTTTGCACAAATAAGAAATTTCTACCATGATATATTTGAGTTGGCATAGTTTAGTTTATTGGCAAATTACATACTACACCTAAACAAATATCATTTCAGTTCTTAATTATTCTTTACTTACAAGCTAGAGTCTTTTAGAGTTATAGTCGTGGTTGTTATGGTTATTAGATAATAAAAAAAATGAAAATTACTAATATCTATTTAATAATCTAATCTAAATTGACTGCCTTCGATGGCTACGTGATCGGCATAGGTCCAGCGAAAAAAACAAAAAAATGGAAAAGCATAAAAAATACACACACGGATATACCTAAAGGGATATACCGACATACATCTTTAATATATATGGGTATATATTTATATAGTTACAGGTATATATAGTTATGTACATACATCGAAACCAGTGAAGCGGGAGCAAAAGTTTATCATCTTTTTACTGAGCAAAATTGATTCTCAAAAGTGGAACGCATGTACGCAATGATAAATTTTCCGCCTCCGCTCAGCAATGCAAAATTAATAAAAGAGAATGAGGAAAAGTACTTGACTTACCCAGTGATCCGCTGCGTAACGATGAAAGGCCTTTCGTAGTTGTTGCAGTAGAATAGCTAGGCTTGAAAGGTAGGTATGTATACTCAGTGGGACAGTGAATAGATATGTAGGTGAGCTTTTAGCACATGAGCATTCTGCTATACAGATTTTTTTTTTTTTTTTTTTTTTTTGTTTTTTTTGCAAACCGGTTTGGATTGTACTTTGCTAATTACATGTATGTTTATTTTATGCCTTCCTCCCCTTTGTATTTCTTTGCCGTCACTCGCAGTAAATTAACTTAAAACAGACCAATAAATTTAAGCCACAAAAATTGAATAAATTGTTTGTTTTTTTTTTTGATATTTAAGAAAAGGTTAGGTAATTTAATAGGTTACGGTCCTTCTTCAATTCATTTCTATTTCAACGGTTTATTTAAGTATTACTATTATTATTATAATTTTTTTTTTGTTTTTTTTTTTTTAATTTTTAAGTTTTTTATATATTTTTGGTTTTGTTTTTGGCAGCTCGCCTACAAATGAATTTTTAAGTAGCTATTCGGGGGATAGAGATATATATACATACATATATCAGCTAACACGTTTTTTTTTTGTTTGTTTTGGGGCTTAACATCTTTTTACCCACCATTCACTTTAATAATTCGTTGTACGTATGGTTATTGTACGTAACCCAATTGTGTTTGTCCGTTTTTGTTTTTTTTTTCTCACTATATACCTATGTATATATATATATATACGTATACATATTTTTATTTTAGGTTGTTCACTGCTTGGTAAATTCAGGTTTTTTTTTTCTGATTTAATTTATTTTTCCTGCTGCGGTCGTGGATTTTCAATTAAAATTTGTTTGATTTTTTAAAGGACTGGATTGGTTCTCCTTCACTTCTCCTTCATGGGATTTTGTGTTTAAGCCCTTCCGACTTGGATCCCTTCTTTCCCGGTGACCGTCGCGTAAACGGCGCGACCGAAGCGTGGATAGACACTGCACGCACCGGTACCTG